GTAAATCTATCCCAAAAATTAATTGTTTTCAGTATATAAACATAAATAAAAACAATAAAAGGTTAGTATCGTTTGGTCTTGGGAAATAACCTTACATAGGTTGTTACAATGGTCTCTGTAGCTTTAAAATTAAGTATGCTCTTAAAGTTAATATTTAAAACTTCATTCACGCCATTCTTTTAAGTATCCCTTCTTTTATCCTTCAAAAAGGTGAGAAAAAATGTGGAACGGTTTTTTAAGAATATATTTTCTTTGATAAACTGCATTAATTTCATTCTTAAGTCCAAATTACGCGAAAACAATTCATTTTCTCTGTGAAATATACCTGACCTTTTTAAAGAGTTGATTTTTGGAACAGAGTTTGTCTAATGCAAAAATTCAATTTCAAATTCTATTTCAAATTCTATCTTCAATTTTATAGTTTTGAAATGTGAACATTTGCAATATTTATAAAAAGAAGAGTTCGCCGAAAATGGCATTAGAACCTTATGATTAACATCGACTCTTATTAACTAAATTAACTATGAGAAGAAAATGTAAAGGAAAAGTTTGAAGTTGTTTTTTTAACGTTGTTTAATACAAATTAAATTGTGCATATTCCACCACTTATGTTGTCAAAAAATTAAATATGACCTAATTTCAAGATCTGTCTTTAAAGCACATATTATATTTAGGGAAACATCACCATCTTCAATATTATTGTTGCAGGACGCCTCCAAAATTTCACATTTTCAACATTCTTTTAAGCGTTCCTTACGCTAATCGAAGACAAAGTATAATTAAATTTGAGTTTCCATCTTTTAGAAAATTTTGAAAATATTCTTGGAACATCACATTAAGTACCCTCAAAAATCAAAATTCGGTTTAGGCGCCAGCCTTGGCCTCAGAGACGCGTTTTTGCCGTCAGTCCAGTTTTGTGTATCAAGGATCCACAAAACGTGGATTCTGGTCGCACGACGTGTTAGACGAAGTGATTTTCTACAAATAGCAACAGAATTTACCAACTTTGTTGTTACAATGGCCCGACAATAAGCCTTTTTCCGCCGAAAATTCACCGTTTTCCGGCGCACAATTACATAAATTTCCCTTCTTACCAAGTACCTTCGCAAGAACGAGAAGCTAGAAATTCCAGGTCGACCCTCACCGTGATCCTGATTCGGCTCTTCATGTCCATGAGCTCTCGGCGCATTCCTTCAGTCAGCACCCGGACGGCGTTTTTGGACGCCACGTACATGGAGAACTCGTTCTTTATCCAGTCCATGTGGCCCACGATGCTGGAAGAATAAAATGAAAACTGACACGCGTTACAAATTATTGGAAAACTGTTCCGTTATTTTAAAGGAACCACACTAAACAGAAAAAAGTAGCTTTAAACGGTCGGCGTCGGTAAAAAGTTTTTGCAAGCCGCCATTCATTAACATAAAACGTAAAAA